ATTGCGGAATTCCGGCAAATTAGTCAAGCCGATGATCCAATTTTAAAGCTTCCGTGTTTCCTCCCTTTCAGGAGCCATGCGCCACAAGACTACAACGGCCTCTCCCTGACGTGGAGCCAGTTCTGCAAGGAGCCCCTAAAAGACCGCGGCTTCACCTTCTGGGAGTGGTTCTACCAGATCCTGAAGCTGACGCAAGGGGACCTCTGCTTCCTCTGGAACACGGGGTGGGGGTCACGGCATCCTCCAGAAAGCGATAACCCTTCTCCTTACTGGTTCCGGGCGAACTGGTGATCGTGGAAATGCTGATGCCGCCGAGTTCCGAGTCCGAAAACCTGAGAAGGAACGTCCCCGGCCGGCACCGCCGCAGGACCTCCCTCGTCTGCTCCCTCCCGATGAACCCCAGGATCAACCTGCTCGAAGCGAGTCTCATTCAGCGGCGGAAGCGGAACGGACGCTCACCTCTGGGATGCCGTGACCCCCACCCCGTGTTCCAGAGGAAGCAGAGGTCCCCTTGCGTCAGCTTCAGGATCTGGTAGAACCACTCCCAGAAGGTGAAGCCGCGGTCTTTTAGGGGCTCCTTGCAGAACTGGCTCCACGTCAGGGAGAGGCCGTTGTAGTCTTGTGGCGCATGGCTCCTGAAAGGGAGGAAACACGGAAGCTTTAAAATTGGATCATCGGCTTGACTAATTTGCCGGAATTCCGCAATCCTGAATGCAATAATAAAAATAATATAAATAATGCTTTATTCGTAATTTTGAAATAGTTGTCCGTAGCGAATTGTATTGCTTCATCAGACATAAAACCGTAGCAAAGAGATGGGACTGTGAGAGCGTAAAAGTCCCTGGTAGATTTTTTATATATTTTATATTTTATATATTTTATATTTTATTTATTTTATTATTTATTTATTTTATTATTTATTTATTTTATTTTTTATTTATTTTATTTTTTATTTTATTATATTTTTATTGGGATTGCTGGCGTGTAGAATCTGCACGTGCAGAAATTATACTCTACCAAAGGGGATGAGACATTTCTTGTCGGGTTCAAAGGTTGACCATGTCGGCAGGAAGGAATTTTATAGGAGGGCATGAGCATATTTGGTTGTAAGATTCCTTTTCCTAAATGAATGGGATGCCGAGGCCTTTCCATAGGTTTCATATTCATGCCCAAGAATTGAGCGTAGGGCAACCAGTTCGAACTGCCTGGTCAGAGAGCTGCTCCTGGAAGGGCAGGCGTACATCATTTGTCTGATCCAGGGGATCAGACAAATCAGACAAGTCAGACAAATCATTTGTCTGATTCAGGGGATCAGACAAATGAGAGGTCGCCCTGAGGTGCTGCCAGAAGACTTCCTGAACCTCCTGCTGAGGGAAGTTATGTTAATGAGAATTTTTTTGGATGGGCCGGCAAGATGGATTTGTCGACTACGTCCTAAAAGGTATGGACTTAGACATTGTAATTTTCGTAAAAAAAAAAGGAGAGGGCCGAGAACAGTGCCTTGGAGTATGCCGCACGAAAGGGAGATCTTCAGGCCATTTCGGCATCGAATAATATGACCGATCGCGGAAGAAGTGAAACCTGAGTGGAGAGGAACATTTCAGTCCTGCAGTATCGAACGGGTTAGTGGGAGTTCAAGGCGACGCTGTGTAGTCAATTTTTCATTTGAATGTAATCACTACATTGAAGGGACTTGCAGGACTGAGAAGCTCCTCTCGCAAGTAGTGTTTGCTACGAGACTAAATTTTTGAACTGGGCACGACCTCCGGTTTGCATCATACCGGAAGGCCTTCGCAGCGAGAAACCACAGGTTGTCTTCCGTGAGGGAGCGCCCGCACGCCGACATGAACTTGGCATTGAGCATCTCGGCCACCCTCGGCCAAGGGGCATGGTCCGGGACGTCGAAAGGAGCGCGGCCCGCCTCCGCGAATGCGTTGTCCCAGCTGACCGTGGCCCACGCGTTCGGCTCCTGGATCCCATGGACGATCACGACTACTGGGAGGGACAGCGCCCACACCTGAGGGATTGTAGCACGTTTTACAAAACTTTAATAAATAAATAAAATACATATTTTTTGCAGCAATTTCCCTTCCGTTGCATACTTCTCAATGTAGAATCAAACTGACTTAGGTTTATTTGAATTTCTAACGAGAATAACAATTCATCCAAAACTGTATTCTTTATTGACTGAAATCCGAATCGATTTATAGTGAAAACACCAGTAATTATACTTTTCGCTCAATTTTTAGAGTTTGAATTAATTTTCTGCTGATAATTGGATCATTTATGGGCTAATAATGGGATAATTTTCCGGAAAATATCTCCAAGTGGCTCTTGCCATAGGTGAACCTTTTTATTTTAAATAAGAAAATGGTTGAAATGTAACTATAGTTCAAAGATAAAAAAAAATGATTTTTTTTTGCGTCTAAGCATCTTTCTGCCTTCATTAATTGAAGGCTAATCAATTATACATCTCAGAAGAACTGCAATTTGTCGCAGACCCTTCGAAGAGTCAGTAATACGTCATGGGTGTTCAAGAAGCACTACCGGCAGTTACCCCCAAATTCTGTGCATGCCTTTCGGGGGGTCACATGACCCCAATGTCACATGTGACCCCAATGTCACATGTGACCCCAAGGTCACATGTGACCCCCGGTCGCAAATGCCTCAGGTTCCTTCCGCCAGACGGAGCGCGATACATCGCAGGGATTTGCCCGCTCGGGATGAAATTTAATATTCGGATCCGAGATTTTTTGCTAGTTGAATGCTAGTTTAGGAAACATGAGTAACGTGTTTGAGAGATGATTAAACAATGGCAAGTGAGCTTCAATTGCTGTTTTTTTTCTCACAGGTGACATTTCCGGAGTTACTAGCCAAGCAATCTCATAAGTGGTCACAAGAAATGGGTGACCCTCTCGAGCATGCCAGGAATTCTGTAAAGAAATGCGATTTCGGAATGGAGAATCTGCAAGAGGCGAAATTTGTTTTTTTTTTTTTTTTTGCTTCTCGCGCCTTCAGCTGCATCGTCCCAACTCCCAAATCGATAAATTCAAGGCGGAAAATTCCGCCTTCGAGGCGCTCTTTCCGTGCCATCTGCGTTTCCGAAGGTTCATCGAAGCTCAACCAGACATCGCATCGCAGCCGTCAAGGCTGTTTTCCATGTTACCAGGGACATTTCCTGATATTTTCAGGCGATTAGAGAATCCAATTTTTTAATAACTGTGGGCTGAGGCGACCGAGTTTAGACGACGTTTATAAGATCGTTCCAAGCAACGCAAACATGCTAGGTAAGAAGCTAAATCGGTGCAAGAAGGAGCCTCATCTTGCTGGTAGGAGCCTCATCTTGCTGGTAGGAGCCTCATCTTGCTGGTAGCAGATTCATCTTGCTGGTAGGAGCTTCATGCTATTGTGTGATGGGAAATTTCATGCCTCAAATGATACAGATAGGGTCAATTTTGGAGTATAAATTCTGCGAATCCCTTCTGGGAACGAAGCAGCCACGGAGCCCGTAGGCACTGTACCCGGCCGAGAAAAAAATTAGGAAGGGACGATCTCATCCAGGCTTTCAAGATAATTAAAGGAAAAGATAATGCAGAACGTTCCAGTTCGATGGCAGCAAGAGAACGAGAGGTACTCAACTCGAAACAGCGAAAACCGCAGGTGCGACGAATCAAAAAGGGGGACAATGCAGACGAAAGGGACTATGCTGTAAGCGACTAAGATTTGCTAAAAAAAATTACAAAAACTCTAATATATTTAGTTTTAAAAGAAGTAGGCTTATCCTTAAATGAATGAACGGTCGTCCTCGACACGTGGTATCCAAATGAGCGATATCGCCTCCTGATACACCTGTCCGACCTTGATACCTTGAGATGGAATCGTGTTTTCACTATCTTTTTCGGCAATGTAAGGTTTGGAGTATTCCAAGGCGGATCTAGCGGGTTCCATTTCTCTTTCGTCAATGTACAATATGCGAAAAGCCAGTAAAGAAACACAACCAGTGACTTCAACTCACCTCCACAGGGACATCTCCAGCGATTTTGAAGGATGTCTGGAAGAGGAGAGCGAACTTCTTGTCCATCACCACACATTCGTTTCCTTTCTTCTCAGTTCGCTTGATCTTACGCAGTTGCATGCATCTGCATAGAAATCACAATTCAGTCAAGCTCAAAAAGCTGCAGACGCGAGGGAAGGTCTCACCTGAAGGAGGCAGTGAGCTGGCGGCCACTCGGGTGGTACTCCATTGTTCCCTTATTGTTGAGGATCTCTCCGCAGGTGTCGATGCGGGAAGTTTGGGAGTTATCTCGTTGGTAGAGTTGTCTCGCCTGTGCCTCGCTGACGATGCTCGCCGTCACCTGGATTGGGTGGAATGGGAACGAGGAAGTATGGTGGTTCGGATGGCCTGGAGTACGGGCGAAGATTATCGTACAAGGTTGATGGAAACCTTGGTGGGTTGAAGTACACCTTCCTCTTTGAATTCCGCATGGTTTTTGTGAAGGTGAAATAGGGACTATGAGTGGCAGATTCTGATTGTAATAGTGGGAGTCGGTCGCTCATTTCTTCACAAAGTCGATGGCTTTTCTCGAGCAAGAAACGCTCGTAGATTTGCAAACAATTGAACTAAATTTCCTTCAGGTCTTAGACATACTAAGGTGCCGAGACCATTCGACGTTGCTGTAGTCTCCCATTTGACGGGAACGCGAACTGTTTTCTCACTAACCTGAGGAGATATCATGTGAATATTGAGCTTCCCTCCGACGAGCAAGCGGACCGAGGCTGTGAACTTGGTGCCTGTTTTCACCACTTGCGGCGGCTGATTCTCGATCACAAACGCCCTGGAAAGTAGGAGACATGAGCAATGCATGTGACTGAGGCTCCATGAAGGGACTGCATGCTGACAGAGCCTGGATGTTCTCACTTGGTGATGAGGGTGGAGAGGAACTTGGTGACCTCCGCTGCCAGCGAGTCAACCTGGATGACTTGGTCGTTGAACCGAAACCTAGAGCTTTCGCTCAGCCGTTGGAATGCAGTGATCTGCTGCCGCATCTCCCAGGTGCTTTCGGCCAACCCCTCGAACCTGAAAATTTGTTTCCATTGTTCGGGTAGAAAATCGGGAAATCCCCTTCGTTCAACGATGAAGGCCTTTCATATATATGCAATATCTCTCAAAATGGATACTTGGCAAAATTCTGGCGTTGTTAGCAAGGTGGACCATGCCAGATGGAATACAGAAGAACTTGTTCGATGTTGGCAGGAAAAATTGCTACAATCATGGGTGTATGGAAGGAGTCAATATTGAGTCAACTAACACGGCGGAATAAGCGTATCTCGATGAAACGCGGTTGATATGAAGATAATTTTGGCACATTTACGATAAGATGGTTGGAAGGGAGCAGTGGGGATTTTGAGGTAAAAATGCTATTTTCAGCATTAATTTTCGGACTTATAGATTCAATATCAATTAGATTAAATGATACCGTGTCAGATGGCGTATAAATATAACCATAGGATCCATGAATATCCAAATGTCACGTCTGGTTTTCAAAAATAAAAACATTGAATTCCACACTGTCCTGCTCGTGGGAATTATTGCATCATCGGGGCTGATATGACTTGGTCTCGATGTTTTAATCCTTGAGTTTTGTTACCAGATGAAATGAGGAACAATATTTGCACCACTGGCATAATTCCGTTGACGCTGGAATGCAACTTTGAGTTTGCTATTTCAAGGATGGCAAACAGCATATGACCTCAAAATAGAATTGCAATTAAAATATCAGATTACCACCTGCTCACCAAGTCTGAAATTGATCCAAACTGCGGGTAATTGGAGTTCCGTTCCCGGCGAGCTGCTGCTCCCTCTTATACATGGCCAATTCACTCTCCACCACCTCCAGCAGGGCCTGCAAGCGCTGGAAGTTGGTCAGCTGCTTCTGCCAATACGCTCTGCGGGCCTCCTCAATGGCAGCGACCTTCAAGGAGCATTCAGCCAGGTGTTAGGGGACTGCGCAGAGGCACTTAATGGACCCTAGACGAGGAGCCTCACTTTCATCTTAAGGTTTTGCTGCATCTCGGCATTCTGGTTTTGAAGCAAAAGGACCTTTGCTTCCGCCCCTTGCTGCCCCTCACGACCTTGAAGGGAATTCAGCGCCCCTGACGAGAGAAGACCCGAAGACTCAGCTGATGGAGATCAATCACGACACCAGGAGAATCAGACTTACTGTTTATTTCTTCGTACTGGTTGTATTGAATGTGGAAGTTCTCCTGCTCTTGTTCCAAGTGACGGAGGTCGATGTGCGTCTCCCTCCTCAGCTGTCGAAGGCTGCTCATCATCCCCAGAATTTCGGTCATGCGATCAGGGAACCAGAATCCTGAAGCGGTTGCACCCGCCTAGAGGGGAGCGCATTCTTTTCAGGGGAGAGCATCCTTTTTTCCACCATACATCAAACCATTACATAACCATTACATATATGAGGGTCACTGCGAAAGTTTAAAAAAAAAATTCTTTTCTACCTAGGAATGAACGGAAAATTGATCGATTCCTCTCATTGATGGAATGGGCCTGTTCTCGGTTGATAGTCCAAAGCCTGTCTCGTTTCACAGATAGTGAAATAGGGCCACTTTGAGCGGAAGCAGATCGGAAGCTCTCACTAATGACTATTCTCGCCGACTCTCCAAACTAGGACACTTTCTGATATGGACCTTCTGCTGCTGATCAAATCCAACAACAAATTTTCTGACGGGCACTTCAAGGATGTGTTCCTGAAGAATAAAATTCCGAAATCTACAGTCTGAGCAGAGTTAATGGAATTTGCAATTGGCGCGCTTGGTTTGGATTAGGATGCTCTCATGAATGAGGTAAATTAAATATGTGCGCAACGTTTTCAAGCCGCAATTCGGAAATGACGACTGAGATAATTGAATGGGTCTCGCTGATGATGAGAAAATCAACTCAATCTCGGGCCAATTCCATCCTCATTTCATAATCTACAAGATTATGAATGGGATTAACCCCGGATTGGGCAAGGATTGCCGAAAATCCCAAGACTGTTGGTTTCTGTGCCTTTCTTCGCATGAACCATTCTCGAGCGCGAGATTTTGCATTCCGCTAATAATAATAATAATAATAATAATAATGATAATGATAATGATAATGATAATAATAATAATAACGTAAGTAATTAAGTAAGTAATTAATGAGTAATACGTAATTGAACAGAATCGATGATTTTGTCGAGGGCTTCCTGATTTAAAGCAGCTATGTTCACAGATATGGAATTCGACGCTCAATTCCTCACAACCAGGAAAGTCTACAAATTCACCCTGGATGTCTTTAAACCAACTCAAAAATTCTTGAAACTCGGAGAGGTCGCTTAGGGCTTAATTATTATTATTTTTTTTCTGGATGATAGTAAAGGCCTAAAGGCCATGAATGGGGGACGTCGCTGGCCCCCAAAAAGAAAAATTTACGAAAATTGCTTCATAAATTTCTTCGACGAATGAAGACCTGCTGGGGTTATTGGGTAACGTGGTTTTTGCATGATGGTTCAGAACCTGCACCACTATTCCAGAAGTTTGAAATTCAATCTGAAGTCGAGCGAGATTCGCCATTTCTTAAGCCGAACCGTGAAAGACATCAGCTATGAGCAGAAGCATCCAAAAAATTGGCACCCTCGTGCCAATTGGCCTCTTTTTCGTCGGTGCTCCGAGCTGACGATAAGGTTTAAGGAAACTGACGAGGTCGAATCGGACGACCTAATCCATCCGTATCTGACAGAATCCTTGTCTGATGATTTATGGCTGATGATATTCCAAAAATCGCTCGGGGGATGTGGGGAAAACCAGGATATTTTTCTCGGATTCCGAATAAAGGCCAGAAGATCGAGATTGCACACACTTTTACAACTCCTCTGGGATTGGACAGATTCAGGTAGAGGTGCACGAATGGCGACTGCTACAGCTGATGCTACAGCTGATTCTACAGCTGATTCTACAGCTGATGCTACAGCTGATGCTACAGCTGATGCTACAGCTGATGTTGCAGCTGATTCTACAGCTGATGCTACAGCTGATGTTGCAGCTGATTCTACAGCTGATGCTACAGCTGATGCTACAGCTGATGTTGCAGCTGATGCTACAGCTGATGTTGCAGCTGCCCCAGCTTGGAAGATTTAATTGGCAAAAGCCAATTTACAAATTTCATTCTCACCCCCCACTTAACGTTGATCTTAAAAAATGTAAGGTGCTGCGCACTGAACTAATTATCCGCAACGTGTCACATCCTAATCGACCAGATGCATTTTACGACCCGCTATCCCTACTCCGATAAGGCATTCATTCGAGAATTCCAGGGAGGCAGATAGATATTCCCTGCCATTATACGACGCCGGCGAGTCATCCATATAACGGTCGGTTGTGCGAGATAGTGGGGCTGTTTCATGTTTATTTATGTATGCTGGATTTAATGCAACTCTAACTCTATTGCTCAGTTTGCGCCCGAATGTGATGGAGATTGGTAAGTTTCTGCAAATTGCATGCAAAGTTTCCTCATTTATGCATGGGGCATTCGTCCTGGAGAATGGGATCAATTTTGACATACAGTCGAACTCGGTTATGACGTCATCGAAGGGACCAGGCAAGAATCGTCGTTATATAACGTTACAACTCCAGTTTACATTGGTCATACTGCACTAGCTTCAGTTTCAAGGCTGACCCACTGATTGTGATGTTCGTTTGGACCTCGAACTGCTTCATACTTAGCGAGTCTCGACGGACCAAAGAGGTTTCACGTTTTGTGACATGCGGTCGTAAGGCACGGATGAAGCAGTCACGATTTTCCAAAATTGTGGAAACAGATGAACGTGTTCACGAGCGACGTCAGCGTCACTTCGAGCTCTTTCTAATTAAACTAATCGCTATCGACTCAATTAATGCTATTAAACTAATCAAGCACACTTTCATTTTGATCGTGAAAGGCTTGCCCCTTTCGTTTTCCATGCTGTCAACGAGAAAACGCAAATGGCGACTGAGGATAAGATGATCTGAGTGACTGGGGATTATCCCTCCCGAACATTGTTCCAGTTACACCCACACGACTCTCAAGGAATGCCGAATCCAGGAAATATTAAGTTATGGCTCGCCAATGCTAATTTTTGACGGATTAGGGATTATGAACGTTGTCGATTTCGTCAGTGGGACCTTCAATGGACTTCCTTATAACCGAGGTTTCGTTATAACCGAGGTTTCGTTATAACCGAGGTTTCGTTATAACCGAGGTTTCGTTATAACCGAGGTTTCGTTATAACCGAGGTTTCGTTATAACCGAGGTTTCGTTATAACCGAGGTTTCGTTATAACCGAGTTCGACCGTATCTTCTTGCAATTCTAATCGTAGCACTAAAATTAGTTGCCAAATTAATTTTAATATTGTGATTTAAAATATTGAAATTGTAGGTCATTCTACAAAAATTACCCAAAAATTTTTGGAAAAGAAGTTAGCCTCTGATAGGGTTAAGTTCTGATAGGATTATTATGGATATTAAGATGGGGTTATTATGTTAATCTCTCCCCTTCCCTCATAATCACATTCTCTCCCTCGCAGAACCCTGCAATCGGCGCTCTTCGCAGACTCGAGGCGATTTTCCCTCTGGAGGAATCTGATTGCTGCCATTCTTCGCCTCGCTGAACAAAAGCGAATGAGAGGCGCCGATTTTCCGAAGGATGAAATGGCAACCGCAAATGGGCAAAATGGCAAATTCCATCATTTTCATCTCCACAGAGTCAAATTAATCACTTTAAGATGGTAGAGACTGCAATCCTTCGAAAATCGCTGAATAGCACGAATCGCCCCGCCTCCCTCCAGATGATGCTCGCTGGCACGATCGTCATCATTTCGCCTCCAGAAAAGCTCAACTGTCTCGCGGTATTTACATAATGCATCTGTTATCTAATCTCTCTCTCTGACTTCAGAGCTGAAATTGTAGATCATGTTGTTGGTACCGTCGCCCCTGTCTTCGGCCGAAGCGCTTCGCTTGATCTTCCCCCGCAAGTGAAGTCAGCCCAGCCCCCTTTCACGGCTGCCACGACGAATGGATGCCATTTTTCACAGCTGCAGGCATGGCAGGCTCCCTCCCCCGTCGCGAAGGTCGCACCTCCCTCCCCGCACTCACGGGCGATCACGGCAAACGGGTACGCACCCCGATCGAGGCAAGAAACGATGTAGAAACCTCAGCCCGATCGCATCGAAAAGACTGAATTCGCAGCACCTAACCCCCACCTAACCCCCACCTAACCCCACCAAGCTCAATGCATGTTGAGTGTCCCTGTCACTTTAGAGAATCTCTTCAATGTCGCTTCTCTGCCGGACTTGTTCCACGTGGCGTTCTTTTTGCACA